GTATTACAATATTTCATTTGGTTTATAACTGTTGATCCACAAAAATTAATCAAGATCTCTAGTAGTAGTAAGTCGTTCCATAAGAAAAGCAACAACCCAAACTTCCAATAATCTCGTAATACATTATTTTCAGCCTATATGAACTAAATGAAGTTGAAGTTATCATTGTCTTCAATGTTTTTCACTATTGGCTTTGGACCAGTTAGGCTGTAAAATTATAATTCGAAAGTGTTTTAAGTTTAAAATTAGAGAAATTTTGAGAAATGCAATTCCCCATACTAAGAAACACTATTGAACATTTTCACATAATTTGTGTATTATTTGTTTTCTTCATGTTCTACATTAACTTTCTTTCTAGAATTTCGAGTATATAAAATCTTGTATTTGAAAATAGATGACAAATTCTCAGACAAGACAAGGACTAAACTATATACAGTCAACCAAATAAACAAAGGAGCTTGGATCTATCTCTTCAATGGTGGAAAATAATTAGCAATGCTTGAAGCAGAAGCAGAACCATCACCTTTGCTTTTACCGGCGTTAGGCCTTTTATGAGGGCGTAAGAAACTCTTCAGTTCTCGTTGAATCTCATCCGGCAATTCATCGAAAACCGATTGATCGATTTCATCAATCTTATAGCCCCATTCTGTTTCTCTCCTCTCTTCTACCTCTTGATTCACTTTACTACAATGGCTGCTGCTACTAAAGTTGGCTCTTTTACTGGTTGATGAAACTGTGGAATCTTCTTCAGTCTCTTGCTTCAATGGAGGAGTTGCGATGTAATTCTTAAATATATCAGCAATTGAAGGCATTCCCTATGAATAAACAAGCAAATAAATCTCAGCAAAAAAGGTAGGAGCTTAACGCGCATCGACCTCTGCAGATTTCAGAACAAAGCGATGATGAACCGTGTACCTGGTTCTTTTCTTTCGAGTTGTTTATCTTCCGCCCAATTCTCTTCATTCGTGTGCCTCTGCTTGATTCTGATTGGGTCTGAAAAGCCTTTGCCACGTTTGATTGAGAAGAGACATCCTGACAAGGAAACTGAGGAATTGGTTCTTCACGAATACACCAATTACTCGACAAGACAACTTGAGAACCTAAATAAGCTCGAGCGATTCAAACACCACAAGCCCTAACCAATCATTTCTTAACCAGTTTAAACTACTAAAGAACCTGTTTACGTTTCTATTCTCTTGAAAACGAGAAGGCAATTGTGCCTAATTATGTTTGGCTTTGCTGCTACATCTTTTAGCCCAAAGACTTAAGTCAAGCTTTGCGGTATAGAGAAACGAGAGCAAATACCTTTTCAGGGACTGGCTCAATGTTTTTATATGGGTTTTCAAAATCAGGACCAGTATAATGTGTGCTTATGTCTTCTTTAGGCATTTCTGCTTGGGTCTCTATTGATCTCTCCTCTGAACAACCTTCACTAGCTGCACCAGTTGCAGGAAAAAAAACCATGAATTAAGTTACTAGAAGAATCAGAGCAGTAGCAAGTTCTGAAAATATATACAGAAAAATTCCAGAATACCTGAGGGAGTCATCGCTACATGTTCTTGAACACAACCATCTGCTGAACAAGAAGGGACAGTAGATTGACTCTGAAAATATCTCATTATGGAGCTTGTTCCCTACGATCATAAGATATCACTCCTACCAAATCAGTGAGGAAACCAGCTAATGTTTGATAGGGGATCAGTAACTAAGAGGTTTTAGTGGCAATAAGAACTCACAGAAGGTATATCCACAATTTTACTTGCTGAAACAGAAAGACCTGTTATTCGCCATGTCTCTTGCTTATATCCTTGAGGTTTGATTCCGAAAGGTCCCATGTACTCACGCAATGCAGCTTGGAACAAGTTAAAGGCATCTTCTTGGATCTTGGTTACTCCATATCTCAGAGGACATGATTTTGAAGGAAATTTCTTATGCGAATCTGAATCCTTTGACTGCATTATTTTCAGGAAAGATATGTTCTAAGTCGTAATCTTTTGCAGAGAAAAGTACGTGTAACAAAGCAAAATATTAGCGCAAACTACACTAAAAGGAGAAAAGTAGGTACTTTGAAAGCGCTAGCATGAAGGGTAAAGGTGCTTGCAATCCGCTTATTCTGGTCCAAGTCCGAACTGAGACGCTCACTTAGTTCTTCCGAAAGCTGATTCAGCCAATGTTGAACCTAAAAGTATACAGAAAACACAACAATTATATAATATAACCGAAGAGAAAATTAAGCTACTTTTGTTACTATTTTTCCAAAAAAAAAACAATAACAAGTTTTATACACTCTTATGAACTATCAAATAAACCAATTGATAAAAAAGGAAAAGAAGTGCCTAATCTGGTTGAGATTCTAGTCTTACAGTTGAGAGTGACTTCAAAGCACGGGGTCCGGGAAATGTCTTTCCAGAACCATGACTTTTGGGGAGAAGGCGACCCTGAACTTCTTCTCCACTGATCCCTCTTGCGATATTGTATAACCAAGTCCTACAAGTCAGAAGAAAAAGTATTAGTAAACTTTGTTACTGGAAAAAGAAAACAGACAAACACGCAAGAGTCGCATATCCTTATAATTTATTTTGTTAAGCACATAAGTGGTTGTTTAGACAAACCCATACAAAATTTAGCAGGCTAGAAGGTACTAGCGGATTGGTTGGTCAAAATATATCGAACAATCTACAATAGCTTAAACGTACAGGAGAACGAGTTTCTGTCTGTTCCAAAGCTATTACCCAGTATTTATTCCCCAATGTTCTTGCAACTTTGCTTCGGAAAATTGCAACAGGTCCCCCACAGTGTTAACTCCCATGTCAGTTTGCAAGCTAGTGCCCAGCTTTCCTCCCAGTTGTTTCCTGCAAACTGACAATTTTATGATCTTGGGACAAAGATCAAAGATGCAAATGCACAATTTTGGACTGCCTTAGACTATTTAGAACATAGCGGTGTTGACACTGAAGCAAATATCAAGTGTAAGCCATAGAATGACAAAAATTTCCAGTATTCCTAAGAAAACATGTGTTGAGGTCGATAAATTTTTCAAGATTACTTACATTTTCTTTATTGGCAAGGAACTGAGTAATTCCTCTACAGCTGAATTTGGTACAACGGTTTGCTGGGCAGGTTTGTTCATTCCACTAGCAAGTTTGGCTAGCATCTGATATTTGAGTTATGTATTGTTACTGTCTAGAAAAGTGATAATCGAATAAAACTAGGAAAGATAAAATAAGCTTCTTACCTTGTTATGAGCAATGCCAGCAGAACAACTAAACTCAGTCTCCTTAAGCACCTGTTTCCGGAGTTCCGCAACAATGATAATTCCACAACCTAATAACTTATCACGGCGATCAGCATCTTTTCGACATATCCAATCCCGGACACTCTCCTTGAAATCATCTCCATCCTGAATCAAAGACCAAAAAACAGTATCGAAGTAAAAAAAAATAGAAGTACAGATCAAAATATCGACTTAAGTTCTTGATGAAGATTAGAAGAATCCAAATCAAACCTTTCTGCTCATTCCAAGAATATGGGATTTAAGAGCTTCTTCGTCTATCGATTCCAAACTCTCTGGAGGTGCATCCGCAACCATCCTTTCTGCTGCATCAGTGAGGTCAAGATACACTTCATCAATTGAAGCCCTCTCACATTTACCGCTTTGTGCTAGAATCGAAACCACCTACAGACACAGAGAGTGAGATAGCTTTTAGCAAATGTTGAGACACTCATATATATGTAGTCACTTCCACCTACGGACCTACCTCTGAGCCCGCACTGCGATATGTATTCAGGTCAGCTTTACCACGAGCCACAGGAACTTGAACCAATTGAATTTGAGGGCAAGCAGCTTTAGCCTCATCACCTCTCATCGACCTGAAAATTCCAATTCATCCGTATTTGCCACCCGAAAAAAAAGAATTGATACAACAATTGAAAAAAGCATTTTTCCGATTCAACTAACCGCTTTACGCCACATTTACGTGCTTCATAACTAACAGCAATCAAACCACCACCTTGCCATTCATTGTACTGTACAACTGCAGTAGGAAGACCTCGTAGCTCCGGTTGCTTCCGTTGCTCCACTAATCATTTACACTCAATAAAACCCATAATCAGGTAAGAAAAAGAGAGAATTTAACGAAATCGAAACCAAATTCACATTTTTTGGTCTCTCTCTAAATCTAATCCAAGTACGAAATTCCAAATCCCTAGACAAACCCATCAACGCGAACGAGGGGGAAAAAGGAAACCCTTTTACTAAACAGAAATTGAAAAACCCAGAATTCCATAGAGTTGAAATTCGATTCGGAAGAGCTAAATTCATTTGCTTTCTCTCATTAAAGCGTGTAAGCTACTGTGAACAATGCGGGTTGTAA